GCGTGCGTGCTTGTACACAAGCTTTCAAAAAAGCTACTCGGTTAGCTAAAGATCTACACATATACGGCCTTGTACGCAAGAGGTTCTGAACAGGGGGAGTTGTAAGGGAGAAGATAAAAAAAATGACTTGATATCTTTTTTGCTTCCTTTTGTTTTTTTTCGCTTTTGCGCTCTGATATTCATGTGACGATATATGTGACGATATATATATATATATATATATACGTACATACATACGATATATGTGACGATATATATATATATATATACGTACGATATATATACGTACGATATATATACGTACATACATACGATATATATACGTACATACATACGATATGACACAAGGGAGTGGGGGCAGCCGACGCTCAACCTACTACATCCACGTGGGCGGCCTTGTACGCAAGAGGTTTTGAACAGCGGCCGTTGTAAGGAAGATGATGATTAAAAAAATGAATTTATTTTTCTTTGTTTTTCTTTTTGTTTCCCTTTCGCTTTTGCCCTCTGACAACCTTGTGACAATTTATACATACATGATACATACAGTATATACACATACATACATACATACATACATACATAGATTTATTACCGGGCAGCTTTGTTGGACTATATATACCACGACGACGCTAGCACCCTGCGACGGTTTTCTCCGGTCAGGTCGAGCGGCAGAGGTCGCGGTCGGGGCCACTACACTACGGTTGGTGGGGACCACCAACCAGTGCCGTCAAGGTACCTGTGCCTCTAGTGCCAGCGGCGTGTCTGGAGTGTATTTTTTGGCTGTGACAGACCTTTCTTTGTTTCGTGGGTGTTTTGCTTGCTTGTGATGGGGTGTGAACCGACCGACAGTATGTAGAGTTTTCCATCTGGTGTGGGTGAGTGATAGTCTGCTTGGATTTTCGTCACATGTACCTTGCTGAGGGCAGTGGTTGGTGGTCCCCACCACCTCAGGGTATGATCAGTTGTCGGGCAGGCGTTGATGCTTAAACACAACCGCGGACCGGGGTTAAGGAAGGTGGATGATCACTTACAGTGTAATCAGTCAGCCAGTTAGGTAGGGGATTCTGCAGACTGTTGAGGCTTCAGCCTCTACTGATTGATGAGTCGGTGGGTGAAACGCCGACGAAACAGTTTGTCACAGGCCCTCCTCGTTTGTTGCCCTCTTCTCCCTCCCTCTCTGCCTACGGATTACCGGGCAGCTCTGTTTGACTATATATATACATGTGACGATATATATATATTGTCACATAATATCAGAGCGCCTAAGCGAAAAAACCAAAAAAACAAAAAAATCTTAAATTCGTTTTTAATCTTCTTCCTTATACAGGTATACTATCTTTGTGACAATATATATATACGGCCCCTCCTTTGTCTTCGTTGTCTATATTGGGACGTCGGCAGGCTCCTTCGTTGTCTATATTGGGACGTCGGCAGGCTCGTTCATTCTCTCC